TATTGGGGGTAAATTTCTTAGAATTCTTTTTTGTGGAATTCACAGTACTTGGAAAGGGACACTCCAATGGTTGCCCTATTGTGCTGAGAACAACACAAGTGGAAATGGGCTCGACCAGACCCTGCAAGCCCAGCCAGACCACAGTCCACGGCCTTGGAGCACACCGTCACTGTGCTTGCCCAGAGTAAGAGAAAGCTGGGCAGACAACAGCAAGTGCAGCAGAGCCTGGTGGGAAATAGAAAGTCAAGACAGAGCAGTATCTCTCTGTAACCTCGCAACTTACCCCACCGAGCCCCTCCCCCTCCCTGCTTCCACTCCAGTTTTCCTCGGGTAGGAAAGCTGAAAGTCTCGCATTTGAAGTTGGGTACACAACCTTCATGTCTGTGGGTGTTTTGTTGTTACTGTCATATTCATTTGATTTTTAAATATACATATATATATATTAAATATATATAATCTCTTATTGATCAGTAGATTGGAGCACAGCAGAACAGCAAGGATGCTGGATGTTGGACAGGCACACCAGCTTCTACTGGGGTGATCCTTTGCCCTGTGTGTGCCTAGAGAACTTATCAAAATCATCGCATAGAGCTCTGTGAGTTCCAGGCCAGCCTGGTCTCCAGAAAGAGTTCCAGGAGAGCTAGGGCTACACACAGAAACACCCGAGAGCCCAGAGTTCCCAACAGATGCTGGTGGGGTCCAGCGATGTGGGCTTCTAACCAGTTCGCAGGGGACATGGGGCTGCCCTGGGTCTATACTTTGAGAATCCCTGCCCTCTGAGGCCTGGGTGTGGAAGACTATACTAATGCCTACTGCTGGTGGCTATTAGTGCTGAATGAATGAGTGTGTGTGTGAGTGTGAGATGCTTTTAGCTGGAAATGACACTAAGCAGTCATGACATTTTCTACATGCTTTTTGCCTCTGTTTTGTTATTATCTGCTTAGCTTTGTGTGTGTGTGTGTGTGTGTGTATGTGTGACTGTGTGTGTATTAGTCTTGTTTTTTGTAATGACTTCTTTTCCTCTACTTCACATGCAGAGGACATGTGAACTTTGGTGATGGATTTAAATTGAAGACTGGCATTGTACTGACCTAGACAGACAGTATGTAGCTGGGCTCACTATTACTTGCGTATTGCATGTGATAAGCTACTTGTGCATGTGGTAATGGGATCATACATAATGGAATACAAGAGTCACTGTCAGATCCAAGATCTTTCCAAGGATGGGTAAAAAGAACTCTTTGAGTTGATAACTAGTCCCTTGTAGCAGCTTCCCCAGTGGGCCAATTACTTCTGATCTTTAAGGAAACTGAAACCTGGCACACAGGGTGAGCGCTCACAAGCCTTGACTTAGGTCAAAGGGTGATTGTAAAGAGAAATGTGGAAGTCTGAGAAACCGAAAGCTGCCTTAGTACTCTGGGTACCAGATCCTACATTTGACAGACTTGTGACAAACTGCACCTGCAGCTCTGAGGTCTCTGCTCCTCTCTAGACGTGTCCACTGAGACCCTTAATGCGGAGGTCATCTGATCAGATTGTTACGTCAACACCACTCTGGAAGGCCCCTGGAACACAGCCTCTGGTCAGCTGTAAGTCAGTTTCCTCAACTGTAAACTGTGGCCATCACCCACCTCACAGAGGCTGTGGGAATCAAATGGCACTGAGAGCTGCACTTCACAGGTGCTGTCTTATATGTTGGTGAGTTAGAAATTGGACAAATGAAAACGTGAAAATAAACTACTTGGTATTCTTATGTTGTCATCTAGCTCCTTTCTCAGTGACTCTACTGTTTAAATTAAAGCTTTTATAAATTAAAATAGTCAGTCTCTCTGTCTCTCTGTCTGTCTGTCTCTCTCTCTCTCTCTCTCTCTCTCTCTCTCTCTGAAATAGAATTGATAGTGCTTTAGAGCCTGCCCTGGAACTCCTGTAGACCAGGCTGGCCTCGAACTCACAGAGATTCATCCGCCCTGAGGCCCCATTGTGTTCAAAATTATCTTGTGGCTGTCTGTAATGCCTCTACAGGGTTTTTTCCTTATTCCTTTTGCACCTTCTGATTTCATTATGATTTAAAAAAAAAATCTGATGCTCTAAAAAAAAAAAAGAGAGAGAGAGAGAGACCTCATTCCAAAAGGATTATGCATTCTCCAGGTGACTGATTGCCTGCTCTTAGTTCTCAGACTTGGAGCCATTGAAGTCGCTCAAGGGCAGTTTCTTATCTTGCAGTTCACTTAGAGGTCATCCACACTAAAAGTGGGATTGAGTTTCCCACCGAAGTATTTTTTTTCTTTATGTTTGATTGATTTGATTTCCTTTCCTTTGTACTAAATAATATTGGGTGTCCATTTCAGGAATGAGAGTTTGTCGTTGTTCACAATCGTGTACGTAACAAGCGCGAGAAGAACAGCAGCTGACAAATATGTTGCTGAGATGGTACCGAATTTTCCCCTTGACTTCAAGGAACAAGACTATGCTCAACACAAATCTATGATTACCTAGCCTTGAAAGCACTAATAATTACATAAAAGCGTTTCTCAGAACAAACTCAAAGAACCATGATTAACAGCTCCCTCATCAAATAAATAAATAACAACTTTGTTTCCTATAAAAATGTCAACTTTGTAGGATTGAAGTTGCAGATGACCAGAGAGTTGGCACCAGTGGGGAATGGTGAAGTTCAAGTTAACTGATTTCAGGGGGAGAAAAGATGGGCAAACCCGGAGTCATTCTCTAGAACTGTATTCAGAAGCATCCTGCGCTAAGCCCTGCAGAGTGTGTTTGCCTTTGCTTCTTTCATTCTACACACACGACAGCCCCTACTCGGGTCTCTAATGTTATACAAACCACACTGCTGTAATTATGTTTGTTTATTGCTTTTCTTCACTTGGTCAGAAATTTAGGGCTGCAAGTATAACTCAGTGGAAGAACAAGCACTTGGCTTACTGGACTCATTTCCTGGCAGCCTTGTGAAAACAAATGGTGTACCGCCTGACTTATCTGTACACCCTGAATTAGGGTAAATAGATGGCTTGATATAGTGGCCTCGATAAGTTGGTGAATGAATGGATGGATGATGGATGAAGAGAACTCTGCATAGCCTGGGGACTGTTCATCAACTAAACTACATTCTAGCTATTTTCTAAGAATTGCAGTTTTACTAAGTTTAAAGCATTACCCTGTCATGGCAGACTTTCCCTAAGGTCTTATTCCAATTGATTACGAGTAAATCCTGAAAACTGTGAGTCCAGTATGTGCTTCCCCTTAGTCCCTCGGAACAATGAGCATTCCTCAGGCCTAGGTGTCCCTGCCTGAAGGAACTAGCTATGAAAATCTGCAGACACCTGCTCAGTGTTAGTCCATTTGTTGTTGTTTAACTCCTTTTTTAGGCTTTTAAATTCTGCATATATCGCAGTTATCATAGACACAGGAATTGTGTATATATATGTATTTATACTTATGTATATGTACATACATATGTAGCACTTCACATGTTACTTTATCTGTATTAAAAGAGCTAGATGATTTTAAAATCAAAAGAGACTTCTTAATCTGGGTTTATTGGTAGGAAAGCAGGTTAAGGCAGTGCTTTTTGCTATATGACCGTGGTTAGCCTGGTACTTGTTTATGTAGCTCAGGCTGGCCTTGAACTCATGGCAGTCCTCCTACATCAGTCTCTGAGTGCTAGGATTACAGGTATGCACTCCCATGCCTGGCTTGACTTCTTAATTTTGTTACCAGCTTGGAAATTAATCCCCTTAAAGAGGAGTCTTTTTGTTGCTTGGGGAAGTACTAGAATTGAAGTCCAAATGGCCAGGATTCAGTTCTTCACTCTGGGAGTCAAGTCATCGTCTCTACTGGCTGTGTGGTCATAGCAGTTTGTATAATAGCTTCTCATTTGTAAAGTTTGATTGACAGTCTAACTCAGTGGTTCATGACAAGAAAGCATTTAATATTACATAGCACAGAGCGCCAGCTGGAATGCCTGCCACACACACTCAGCCTCGGTGATCTTGTTTCTGCTCTTGCTTGCCTAAATATCAGTCTATGGCCAAAATGGAACTTGTAAGCTTTCCTTGACATTGTTAGGTTGGGCTGTGGTTTCTGGCTTACTTGACAGAACTCAATAGACTCAAAGGCACAGCCAAAGCCAGGCATGGCAATGCATGCCTGTCATCTTGGCACTTGAGAGACCTACATAAATAGAAGACTTGGTAGTTTAAGGCCAGACTGAGCTTAAAAACACCAAAGAGAAGGGCTAGAGAGATGGCTCAACAGTTAAGAACACTAGTTGCTCTTCCAGAGGACCTGGATTCAACTCCTAGCTCCCATACGGGCAGCTCACAACCATCTGTAACTCCAGTTCCAAGGAATCTGACACCATACAAAAGGAATACATGCGCTGGGAGGTGGTGGTGCACACCTTTAATCCCAGAACTCCGGAGGCAGAGGCAAGGCCAGCCTCATCTACAAGAGCTACTTTGAGGACAGGCTCCAAAGCTACAGAGAAACCCTGTCTCGAAAAGAGCACATCAGCACTTGAATACAAGACTTTTCTTATTTTAAAAAAAAATTCTCCCTCCTGAATTACAAGTTTCACTGTTCTTTCTGTCTTTACTTTCTTTTCTCATAAGTCATGGCGCCCTTCCAGTCAGCATCAACTGTGACTTCCCGGTATAATTGTGTGTTTTAGCAAGACTGTTGCTGCAAGGCACTAGGATCCCAGAACACAGTATATAAACGCTTGGAAAGTAAGATCAATGTAACATAATATACTGCTCTTTTAAATTACATTCTGCAATAATAAATGTTTCTATTAAGCTGAGTTTTTTTTCATTCTGGCAGTAAAGAATGAGCATTTGAAGCATGGAAACGCTCATCACATGAACATAAGTCACCATGAAATTGTAAAGTCGCCAGGAGGGAGAAGTGCTTCCCTTCTCATTCTTTCAGAGTTCATTTGTCATTTTACAGGATAACTTATTTTTCTCTCCTTCTCTCTGAAGGTAGAAACCTGTGGGTTCTCGTTGTGGGGCAATCTCCAAAGGAACACAGAGTTGGGATTCCAGAATTCAAATACGTGGCTAATATGCATGGGGATGAGGTATGTACCCGGTGTGAATATCTGCAAGAAACTTCCCCTCAGGTTCTCATGATCTGTGTCAACAATGACAAGAAACCTGGACAGGTATCCTGCGTCACAGTGGAGCAGCAAGGGCCCGAGAGGTCTTCTCTGGGAGGCCTGTGAGGAAGCTGAGGGAGCCAGTTCTAACAGCATCAGACAGTGTGGCTGTACATTTAGTCCCCTGAGAGAATAACCAGAGAGGTTTGTGTCGGGACTCTCCGAGCTGCCTCCAGCCCTGACCCTCAGCTCCTTTCTGGGTTGATTTCCCATCTCCTGTTGGCATTTAGGAACTCCAGCACAGAGTTCTGCTGCACTTGAACTCAAAGCAAAGAGAAGACACCAATAGCCATTCAGACGCACGGCATCTGGCATTATTAGTTTTAATTTTTGATTTTAATCTTTATTCATTTATGGTGCTGAGGATTTAAACCAGGTCTCATGCTTTCTAGGCAACTACTTCCTCCCTGAGCTGTTCCTCCAGCCCATGAACGTGGCGTTTGAAGCTGTCTGTCAGCGCCCCAGTGCTTTCAGGGAGCAAGCTTAGGTGCACACAGCGTTCCTTCTAACCCACCATTCTTTTCCAGATTAGAGGAGACGAACACTCTTTTTATTTTGTTCCACAAAATGCCTTTCTACCACTCTTACAAGAATGACTGGTGCCTAAGTGTGTGTTCTTTTGCAGTGATGAAAACCATGACCAAAAGCAAGTTGGAGGGGGAAAAAAAAAAGGTTTATTCCAGGTCATTGAGGGAAGTCAGGGCAGGATTTCAGCACGGGAATTGAAGCAGAGAACATGAAGGAAAGCTGCTTGCAGCCTCTTCCTTCCTTCCTTCTTTTTCCGAGACAGGGTTTCTCTGTAGCTTTGGAGCCTGTCCTGGAACTAGCTCTTGTAGACCAGTCTGGCCTCGAACTCACAGAGATCCACCTGCCTCTGCCTCCTGAGTTCTGGGATTAAAGGCTTGTGCACCACCGCCCCACAACAGTCTGTTTCTCTGGCTCACAGTCAGCTCCCTTTCTCTTATGTCCCAAGACCAATAACTAAATCTTTTCTGAGGATCAGAAAAGCAAAGCAGCCAGTCACTGGCTCTTACTTTGACCTCAGTCCGAAATGGTGATCCTGCCTCCAGGAATCTCAGAATGAGACTGTGTCTAAGAGCTGTCTCCTCCCATTTTATAATCCTCTCTAGTTCCGGGATTAAAAGCAGGCACCACTACCGCCTGGTTTCTATGGCAGCTAGTGTGACTACTGGGATTAAAGGCGTGTGTCATTGCTGCCTGGACTGTAAGACTGGCCAGTGGGGCTGTTTCACTCTCTGATCCTCAGGCATTTATTAAAATACAAGTGAAATGCCACTACAGGTTAGCACCCCCCACGGTGGGCTGGACCCTCCCACATTAGTCCTCACTCGAGAAAATGCCCTGCAGACTACACTACAGACCAATCTAATGGAAGTATTTGCTCAACTCACGTTCCCTCCTCCCATGTGATCCTAGCTTGTATCCAGTTGACAGAAAACCACCCAGGCCAGTAGGACTGTTGAAGATGTCTGCCTCTTTTCCACCTTGCTTCATCTGCATACTTCTGTTGTTTTCTGTATACCAGACTCCACACAACTGAGGAAGGAAGGGTGGCTCCCACTTGCCACAGTAAAGGAAATTGATAGGGGATATATAAAGGTCCCTATATAAAGGGTAGATTTCGCCTTTAGGGGTTTAGAGTCTATGCATATGGTGGGAAGCACAGGCTGCTAGTTACCGAACCATTCTGTATTTGCACTAGCTGGGGTAGGATGCTCTCAGCAAGGCTGGACCCTGTGACCTGATTTAACCTCCTCAAACTCTGGTTCCATAGGACCTGGGCTCCTCCCTTTATGACACACACGGCCAACCCTTGCCAAGCATGTCACCCAACCCGTCCTGCTGAGAGGATGCTTTTAGTAGCTGGAGTTAAAATGCAAATACATGCTTGCAAGAAAGAAACCTGGACTTGGGATGGGTAAAGAACAATACAACTACTTTTTTTTGTTTGTTTTTTTAATCATGATGATCTGTTTCTTTAATAGACTTATGTTGCTGGGAATCGCCCAAAATTGTTTTGTTACAGGGAATCGCCCAAAATTGTTTTGTTACACAGAGCGGCCCAGGCGGTTTTTTTTTTTTTTTTTTTTTTTTTTTTTTTTTGCTATCTAGGCTATCGATCAAGGGCTCCTGAAATCCATTTTTAATAAGAGACACATGGCACTCGTTGACTCCAGGAACTTATTCATTGGCTTCCCCGGGATTTAGAGGTTACAGGGCTGCTGCTCAGAACTTAATCCTCAAAACCTAAACTTCCAGAGAGGAGCCTGGTCTCTGCCATGCCTGCCTGGCTATGCTGGCCTTTTCTGTGCTCCTTCGTAAACTCAGTATCGTCTCTCTGGGGCATCACTGTGTCCAATCTAACCCAGGTCCTCCCTGGGGTGGAGGGAGGTGGAGAAGGCCTTCGTGTGTTCTGAGTTGGGGTCTGAAGTATTGTGAATGCCGTTTATGTCCCGGCTCATGACTGTGGGCTCTGTGGGCCTATTAAAGAGATGTATTGAGGTCTTGGGTATTCTGCCCTCCTACTGATGCCTCCAGGAGCTGGAAACCTGGCAGCCGAGGACTTACTCTGAGCATAAAAATTGAGCCTGCCCCACCATATCCCTCTTAGAACTTTTGGGACTGAAAGTTTTCTATTCTTGATGACTTCAGTCCTACTAAAAAGCAGCATAGCTAACATCTTGGGCAGTTGGTCCTGACCCCAGGATCTTTGGCGTTTGCAGATGTTCAGGACCTCATGGTGAATTCCTGTAGGGGAATACACTAAGCAGCACAGCAGAACAAATGGACCACATGATTTTTTTTAGGACATTTCCTCTCCTCTAGACACTACCACATGGATGGGTGGTTCATAACTGGTTCTATGTATTTGAGGAGATTAGTTGCAGCATCAGGACCCATTTCTTGTCTCCCCCCCCCCCCATGAATTTCCATTTTGTCTCTTTAACACCTTCTTTAAAAACTGTATCTTTACATTAAAATAATAATGTTCAGGACCAGGGAGATGGCTCAGGGGGGAAGGAACCAGCTTAAGACCAAACTAGACCCTCTGAATGTGGGTGATAGTTGCATGGCTGGGGCAGACTGTAGGGCCACTGGCAGTGGCACCAGGATTTATCCCTACTACTTGTACTGGCTTTTTGAGAACCCATTCTCTTTGGAGGGATACCTTGCTCAGCCTAGATATAGTAGGGAGGGCCTTGGACCTTCCCCAGTGCAATGTGCTTTACCCTCTCAGAGGAGTTGATTGGGGGTGGGTGGGGGAGAAGGTGGAGGGAAGGGAGTGAGAGTGGGATTGGTATGGAAAATGGAAAAAAAAAGATAGTTTGTTTTTAAAAAAATTTAAAAAAAAGAATCTTTTTATGATACTAGGCTTAAAGAAGAGGCCAGTTCAGTGGTCTCCTGTGCAGAACCCACATTCTGGGATTGCTTCCTTACAGTGTTACTATGGCCCTCGTCACCTGGATACTTAATTCTAGAAGTAAGATTCAAGATGTAATGGTTATCTTTGTCAACTTGTCACAACCTAGAATCACCCAGAAAGAGAGTCTCAGTGAAAGATTGGATACATTGGGTTGGCCTGTGGGCGTGTCTTTAGGGATTGTGTTCATAAAGTTAGCCTGTGGGCGTGTCTTTAGGGATTGTGTTCATAAAGTTAGCCTGTGGGTGTGCCTTTAAGGATTGTGTTCATAAAGTTAGCCTGTGGGCATGTCTTTAGGGATTGTGTTCATAAAGGTAGCCTGTGGGTGTGCCTTTAAGGATTGTGTTCATAAAGTTAGCCTGTGGGCCTGTCTTTAGGGATTGTGTTCATAAAGTTAGCCTGTGGGCCTGTCTTTAGGGATTGTGTTCATAAAGTTAGCCTGTGGGCGTGTCTTTAGGGATTGTGTTCATAAAGTTAGCCTGTGGGTGTGCCTTTAGGGATTGTGTTAAGTTAATAAGGGAGGACCTTGTCCACTGTGGGTGCACCATTCCCTAGTCTTGAACTATATAAGAATGGAGAAATGACTGGAAGGGTGGCTCACACCTTTAACCCCAGCACTCAGGAGACAGACCTCTGATCTCTGAGTTCCAGCCCAGCTAAGCACAAGCAAACAAGCGAGTGAGTGTGTATGCATGCTTACTTTCTGCTCCTGCTGTGGATGTGATGTGACAGCCTCCTTGGGTCCTTTGCTTTGTCTTCTCCAAAATGATTGTAGCCAGCCTCCTTGGGTCCTTTGCTTTGTCTTCTCCAAAATGATTGTAGCCTGGAACCGTAAGCCGTTGGATGAGGCCGCTTCTTTGTTCCCAGCTGCTGAGCCCTGAAATAATAACACAGAAACCATATTATTTGCAATACTGTTTGGCCAATAGCTTAAGAATATTTCCCTAACTCATATCTTAAATTAACCCATCTCCATTAATCTGTGTATTGCCACGGGGCTGTGGCTTACCAGCAAGATTCCAACTGGTGTCTGTCTCTGGCAGGGCTGCATGGCTTCTTCCTCCCAACATTCAGTTTAGTTTCCCCCACCTAACTAAGTTCTACCTTGCTATAGGCCAAGCCAGTTTCTTTATTCATTAACCAATGGTATTCACAGTATACAGAGGGAATCCCACATCAGTAAGCCTACTAAACCCCTTTTCCCTGAGCTGCTTCTTGTCAGGGTGTTTTATCAGAGCATTTGCCAGCACAGGTGAAATATGTTTGGCTAACGTACATCTTAGGAACTGTTCAGGGCTAATTCAGCTGATGCTGAACTGAGCTAGCTTGCACTCAGGACTGTAAAAAACAAAGTATAGGTGGCAAAAAACTTAAAATAGCCATTTGCAGACAGGTGTTACTACATAGGAAATAAGGTTTTTATAAAGCCCATTCTTATTTTGTACATCTTCATGTCTCTCCTTGCAAAGTTCAGATGGAT